GCACACATGCCATAAGAAATAAGAGGAGAAAATGATGATTGAAAATAGATGGGTTGAATAATTTTTGCTTCATATGTTATTTGACTATTAATTTTTTTGAAAGAGTGTAACACAATAATAGCCACATGGAGGACAGTTTTTAGTTGATTGTTGCATTAGTGAGTTGTTAGTAGATTCTATTTAAAAGAACACAGTCAATGTACACATGGACAACAAAAGGAATCTGTGAAGAATGGTATGGGTGCAAGCGAATAAATAAAATGCAGTTGGCTGTTGAGGGATTCTTTAACTAATAAAGATAATGTTATGGGGCAGGGCTGATATTTACCGTTGCATTTGAAAAATCTGTGCTGATTAGTTTTTTTGAAAAGTCAAACTGATAAATTTCAAAGTTGTCTATCTAACACAGATTAGTTGACTTGGTAAAAATGTTCTTTCTTCAAACTGGCATATATTTTCTTGCTATCACTCTCACAATTTCTTGGATTCCAACCAGATTACATCATATTCTTCAATGCTATCTTTCAAGGGAAGCCCGTATTGGATGGCACCTGAGGTATTTCTCTCTTTTTTCTCTCTTGTATCTATCGCTGCTCCCAAACTTCTTGTTCCTTGATCTTCAGTTTTGTAAGCAGAGTTCCTTTACCCATTGTTTGGTTAAGAAATTATGTACGGGAGGGGTGAAATTTATTTTTATTAGTTTTAGTAGGTTAAAAGGGAAGTGGCTAAAGTGAGTGTATTCTTATAAACGCCAATACATAAGGGTAAAATCAGTAAAACTGCAGAATCATTAGAAATATCTCCTTCACATTCAAATTATCCCAACCAAACAAGCATTTAATGTTTCAGACTCATTGAATTACATACTTTCAGTTGGTGATGAATACAAATGGCTACAGCCTTGCAGTAGATATATGGAGCCTGGGTTGTACAGTTCTTGAAATGGCCACATCAATGCCACCTTGGAGTCAATATGAAGGGGTAAAAATGTTGCAGAATATATTCTGATCACCAAACACATACATTGCGGCATATCTTTGACCATCTTCTATGAACAGGTTGCTGCAATATTTAAGATTGGAAATAGCAAAGACATGCCTGACATTCCTGATCACCTGTCAACTGAAGCAAAAAGTTTTGTTAGGCTATGCTTGCAGCGAGATCCTTCTGCACGGCCTACAGCATCTCAACTTCTTGAGCACCCTTTTGTTAAAGACCAAATTCCAACAAAAGTTGCCCACAATGTGAATATAATCAATCAAGTACATCCGAGGAGTTGTGATGGAAATTGCACACCGGTATTCATCTTGACTATTGATTTTCTTTAGTGAGCACACCGGTAACAATGTTTTTCACGTACTTCCAGTAACACTATGTTTGGTTCATAGAATTTGAAAGGAAAAGAAAAGAAAATAAAGTGGAAAATAGGTTTTCTTGTTTGGTTAGATAGGAAAAGAAAGGAAAAGTGTGAAAATTGAGAGAAAATCATTTTCTTTTCTTTTCCTTCCAAATTCCTTGAACCAAAGATAGTGTAAGGGTGCTTCTTATCATTGCCCACACATGCATTTGTGCAATCACACAGCCTACACGGCAAGTGGGATTAAAAGTTCCATAATGGTTATTCACTCTTGGCTTACTTTGATTGGGGGGGGGGGGGGTCTGCGTGATTGAAAATGTTGGAAAGATAGTAGATTCATTTGACAGTTTCAGAGCTCTCAAGGGATATGACTGAATCATGTCTCATGTCTCATGATGTAATAGAGTAACTGTTGTATGAGCTGGAACTACTTGACATTATGATCTCTAGTTGATCTTTAACACCGTGTTGCTTTACTATACACCTTTGGTGCGCGTTTGGAACCTGAAATTTTATAGGTTTAGAAACTAAAAAGTGAAATAGAGAGAACTTTTCAAATTCTGCGTATCAATTTTAGATATTTGTTCGAATTATATGTATTTATATTCTTCATGGAATCAACATATACGTAAAATATTAAAAAACTTGCCATCAAATTGCTTTTATTTAAAATTTTCCATTCTGAAATTAGACATGAAGGATCATTTTCCTTGGCATGATTTCCCCTTTCCCTACCATTCTTTGGGCTCGAAACACAACCTTAATATATTTATCCTTTTGATTGTAGTCTCATTTGCATTTTATTGCCACAGCCGGCTCTGGAATTTCCACCCAACGGAAGAAACACTGCTTCTCTTGATGGAAGGGATTATTCAGTCAAACCCGTGGTAACCAACTCTAGAGCCACGACCAGTTCAGGGTAATACAAATAATTATAGGCAGAAAAATAACCTTTTTTTTGATACTCTTACAGATCCATAATGTGTGTACTTTCTGAACGTGTGTTTTCTTCCCGTGTGTGTGTGTTTTTTTTTCTCTCGATCGACAGAAGAGAGAATGCAAAAGCTGTGACATCATTGCCCGTGTCACCATGTTCAAGTCCTCTAAGACGTAATGCACATAGAATCAGTTATCTTTCTCCTCCACACCGATCTTACCTTCAAATTGGTGGCGAAATAGGAAACAACCATAATGATTACCCAACCTTTGGACCAAGAGCCAACAGAAGGAACAACTTACTGGATACATCGCTTGAGATTCCACCCTACAGAAGAACTCAAACGCCAGGTAGATCTTCAAGAACATCACCCTTTCTCTAGTTCATTCTTGTTTTTAAACACCCCCCCACCCATCCACCCCCCCACCAAGTTTAGTGGTGCAATTTGAAGTGCCAATACTTTCGATTAGAGCCTCTTTTGCCTTCTGTTTATGGGAAAAGGTGGCTAAAGTGTGTGTATTTTTGGAGGGGAATCATCAGGCTTTGTGGTTGCATCAAGATAGTCTTATCTTACAACTTATTAGCCACAACCCCCTTTTTTTTGTAATGTGTACGTTGTTTCTTTCCCTGTCAAATAGTGCTATGAAATGTAAATGAAATGCATAACATAGAATACAAAGGGTCATTGGTAATTTAGATGAGGTTCTCAACATGGGAAAAGGAACAACTCAAGAAAGTGTCATCTTTATCTCTTCCCCACCCCACCACCCCCCCCCCTCTTGTGTGTTGCGGTTCTCAACACGTGAGAAAGGAAAAAGTCAAAAAAAAACATCTTGTGAGAAGTAGGGAAGCGTTTATTCATTTGCATAAGGTTTAAATATGTCTGTAATCTATGTATGCAGACGGGTGTTTTGTATTATACCCCGGGCTTAAATTCTCTACTTAATAAAACACTCATTCTGAAGAAATTGGTTTAAAAATGTCAATTAAGTTTTTCAAATGAGCTGCATTGCATTCATGTCAACAATGTTCATACTCCGTTTATAAGAGTTTACTATGGGAATGACTAAACGTACCGGTTAAGTACTGTAAATTGGAGAGATGAAAAACAAAAAGTAATTTAGAGTGCTATATTTGAAGGACCCAAAATATGTTTAAACAAAACATTGTGGTTCCTAATTATATCTTCTTCACTTGGGATGTTATTTTGGTTCCACATTATATCTTCGCAAAACTTAAGGACTACTGAAGAATATGTATTCTTTGCAAAATTTCCTAATCCAAATTCTAGATTCTAAGTTCTAGTCTTTAGATTCGGATTTTGGTCATATTCAACTTCCAAGTATCAAGTTATGCAGGGTGTGTATACGAATCAAGTCAATCAAATATCCATATATTCGTTGGGATGGTATATATTCGAGTTCAAATTCGTTAATAATTTGAAATTTAAAAAAGGTTTGTATTCGATTTGAGCTCATATTTCAAACATTCGACTTTGTATTCGAATATTTGAATTCGAAAATAGAACAAATTTTTACTTTACAAAAATCATAAATAAAAAGAGTAGTTATTTACTTTTAAGAACTACTCCGTAACATAAACTAAAAAATTCACAAATTCAAATAGAAGATCTAGACAGTTTATCATATTTTCCCTACATATATAAGTAAT